AACTACGTCAGATTTTAAAGATGTATTCTAAGAATCAAAATAAGATGAGAAGATTCTATAAACATGGGTTAAAAAATGCTCGAGTTAGACTCACAAAGTTGGGGAAAAAATGTATTGCAATTTTCGGAAACTTTCATAGATTATTGAAAAAATTTTTTCTCGAACTGCGAAAAAATCTCCTATAGCTACAATACATTTTTTGATTTTTTTACCTAACTTTAAGGGCTGATTTTTCTAACTTCTCGGTAAGTTTTACCTGACAGGTAGCATATTTTCATCTCTTTTCAGATAAGTTCTAAATAAAGAAATAAAGATATGCTACTTGTCGGGTAAAACTTACCAAGAGTTGGAACAACCGGCCCTAAAAGGGCTATAACTCGGAGGAAAAGCATTTTTTGGACCCATATTTATAGGAATTTTTTTTCTTATTTTAACTTCTAAAATACACCCTTAAAATCTCTTACAAATTTTAGATACTTTGTATATATATTTAAGAAAAATACACGCTTATTATATTCTAGAACTTATCATTATTTCACAAAACTTATCAGATAACTTGTGTAAAATAGATTAATTTTAACTTTATAAACTTTTTTTTTAAACTGTCAGAAGTGTCTTAAAAGTCGTACGGATCGTTATGCTGAACATCCTGTGTATTCATATACAGTTCTACACACGCACATGATGTTTCATTTTAAGTGATACAGTCGATTATTTTAAAAATAAAACATTTTTGAGAAAAATGTTCCACATAAAAGTTGTAGGGTTTCGAAAAAGATAATATTGTAATTTATTATTAGAATTGTCTCTGGGTGATGTTTTTCAAAATTATTTAGAAGTCAACACAATTTTATTAAATAGAATCGTTTTTTTTTTTTTTTTTTTTAACATAAATTGATTTCTTGTAGTATTTGGTGCAAAAATTATAAGACTAGGATGATCGAAAAGTGAATAGTTTATAAGATATTTTTATAATTTAGTTTGACATAATCTTACATGAACTATGGAATATCTTGTAAAATGTAAAATATTTATTTTTCGGCAATCTTACCTCAATACTTTTATGTACAAAATAATGAGAAAAATTAATTGGTGCAAAGAAAACAGTTGTTTTTTTTAAATATGTAATTGTAAATTATATATTCTTGAAAATGTTACATGTTTTTGAAAATAAATGAAATAAAATGTGTTTTCTTTAAACTTGGTTTCTAAATGACTTTGAAAAACATTACTCAGAGGCAAATCTAGGTCAACGATATTATGCCCTCTTCGAAACTCTACGACTTTTATATGGTAAATTTTTCCCAAAAATGTTTTATTTTTCCACTGTAACACTTAAAATAAAAGATATACTGGATAACTGAAAAAACATATATGGAGCACACCATAAAATTCTCTGGCCAATTTGCAGACAATTTTTCTTCTTTATCAGTGAAAATATTGAGGCACCAATAATTTTTAAGTTATAAATGTGATTGTAATATGATTGAAAAAGATTTTATTTAAGCCTTAGTTACAAAACACATGCAAAAAATGATAATCTTCCTTATTTTGGCTGAGAAAAAATTATTTCCAAATTAGCAGAAGAATCTAATGAAATGTTTTATATACGTTTTTTTCAATTATACACTGTATACATATAATTATAATTACATATATTGATTGTCTACAAAATACAATATTGTATATAAAATACATATTAATTATGAGAAAGTAAGCAATTTGATCCTTTAAAATTTGATTTGGACAATATATAAGAATAAAATAAAATATACTTGTTTATAAATATATTAAAGGTATAATACAGGCAAAAAAGTTTTTACTGTGTTGCATATATTTTAAAGTTTTTGATTTTGAAAATTTTGTTAAAATTATTGAAAATATATGTTTATTATTATGTGTGTCGTTATTATTTTGATAATTATATTATCAAATTTCGATGAAAAGTATTATTATTCACATTAAAATAAATGTTTTTTTTTTAAATAATGATCATTCAAATAATGTTTTAAAAACTAAATCTAATCAATTGACATAAAATATTAATTTTTATATTGTTGCTTATTAATAATTATTTAAAGAAAATATATATAAAATACATGTTTATTATTATGTGTGTCGTTATTATTTTGATAATTATATTATCAAATTTCGATGAAAAGTATTATTATTCACATTAAAATAAATGTTTTTTTTAAATAATGATCATTCAAATAATGTTTTAAAAACTAAATCTAATCAATTGACATAAAATATTAATTTTTATATTGTTGCTTATTAACAATTATTTAAAGAAAAAATATATAAAATACAATCCAGTGTTTAATAATAGATACAATCAAATTAAGTGATAAGACTTTTGAAATATATTTTATTATTTTATTACATACATTGTGAAAATATTAATTATATGAAATCGAAATATGAAACGATAAATAACAATATACAGTGTACATATAAACAGACTACGCGAAAAGTCCCAGAACCATTTAACATTTCGGAAAAGAAGCATTTTACACACACAAAAAAAAAAACGTTTTAAACAAAAATTATATATAGTATGTAAAAGATCTCATTTAGCGATTTGAATGGTTTACCCTTAAATGACTATAAAGATCATATCAAGGTCATCTTGAATTTTTGAAATGGAACTACTATATTCTAATACTTATTTTCCGATCTTATCTCTACTTTTATGCACAAAATCATGGTATAAGGAAAACAAACAGTTAATTTTAGAAAAAATATTTAATTTACAAGTAATAGCTATGTATATATTTTCATGAAATCAATTATGTGTTTTTTACGCTAATTGATTCTCCTCATTTGTATTTTGTACATAAAAATATTCAGGTAAGATCATAGGAAAATTAATATTTTACGAGATATTTCATCAATCTCAAATAAAAGTATAAAATATCTCGTAAGTTATTCACTTTTTGATTGTTCTACATTTATAACTTTTTATGCAGAATATTGTGAAAATTCGATTTATATAAAAAATATGATGATTCCATTTACAAAATTCAAGATGACCTTGATATCACCTTGATAATGCCATCGAATCGTAAGATCAAATTGGTCAAACTGCTAAATAGGTTTTTTTTACAATATTTTTGTTTAAAATATTTTTATAAAATGTTTTTTTTCGAAATATTAGATTTATTGTTAGTTCTGGGAGAATTCTTTTTCGCATACTCTGTATATAAATATATATCAGAAAGAAATATTTTTATCGGCTCTCAATATTAAGAATATAAATATGTTTTTTTTTAAATCGGCCAACAGAGCCAAAGCACGAAAAATTAATTATTCGGATCTGTATCTCTTGGTTTGAGGTCACTAAGTTCCATATATAAATTAATCTCGAAACTTACATATGGAGAAATAGGCGCGAAAAATATAGGTCCGAAATGTCGCTGAAGCGGGAATCGAACCCGCGTCTTTCACTTTCCGGGCGACTGCTCTTACCAATTTAAAAAAAACATATTTATATTCTTAATATTGAGAGCCGATAAAAATATTTCTTTCTGATTTTATTCATGCCTTGGTCTAATCACGGCGTTATTTACTAACATCTACTAAAAGGCAAATGAAAAATGTAGGATCGAAAGGGTCTGAATAGCTTTTGTTAGTTGGTAAGAGCAGTCGCCCGGAAAGTGAAAGACGCGGGTTCGATTCCCGCTTCAGCGACTTTTCGGACCTATATTTTTCGCGCCTATTTCTCCATATGTAAGTTTCGAGATTAATTTATATATGGAACTTAGTGATCTCAAACCAAGAGATACAGTTCCGAATAATTAATTTTTCGTGCTTTGGCTTTGTTGGCCGATTTAAAAAAAACATCATATTTATATTATAAATATATATATTTATATAGGGTGTCTTGTGACTCGAGATCCATATATTAAGAGCCTTAATGTCATGGGACACTATATATTTATATTATATTTATATACAATGTATTCCGCAAAGACTACAACGCTTAAGAGTAAAAAATCTTGAGATTATTTTAAGAAAAAAATCTTAATAACAAAATATTTAGGCTACAATAGTTTTTGAATCAGAAGCATTTAGAATTAGCAAGTGAGCTAGTTAAAAGTTTCTATGTCGTCTCTCAATTTTTATTGTACACATATTTATAAAATATAAAATTTAGATTAATGAACCATTTGTGTTTTATTTCTCATTATTTTATTATTTCATTCACTATTGTGTTTTATTAAACATTTTTTCATACTTTTGATGTAAACGCAGTTGAATTAAACATTTGGAGTGCATTACTTTTGGTCTGCGTATCAAAAGATATATGGTATAAATTAGACCATAAACAGAGTATTTATGTGAATAGTAAAAACAAACTCAAGAATTTACCCTTAAGTATTGTTACGATCTTTACGTAACATTCTCCATATACAGGGTGTAATTAAACAAAGGTATACGAAACTCACTATCTGGTGCAGGATGATAAACTAAATCGAAAAGTCCTGAGCCATTTTTAAATCTGAACTTTATTTTTGACACTATAAATTGTTAAAGTTTGCCAATTAGCGCGTGGCTACAACGGAAAACAGCGTAGGCGTTGCTTTAGTAGACCTTAATACGTCTACTAAGGCGGCGCCTACGCTGTTTTCAATTGTAGCCACGCCCTAATTGGCAAACTTTAACAATTTATAGCGTGAAAAATAAAGGTTAGATTAAAAAATGGCTCAGGACTTTTCGATTTAGTTTGTCGTTCTGCACCAGATGGTGTGCTTCGTATACCTTTGTTTAGTTACACCCTGTATAAAATTATAACATTATTGTAGAAAAATACTTTTTAATGTGAAACATTATATTCTCGATATCCATGCAATTGTTTTCTCTTTTATATGTAAAACAAATATCTCCTATCTTGCATTAAAATTACATATCATATTGTATCATACTTTGAATGTATGTATTCTTGTAATGCACATGCTGCATTTGGATAACGCACACAATATACCACAAATAAATAGATTGGAGGAAGCGGAAGTGGTGGGCACTTAAGTTATGTAGGTGGTCATAGAGCTCCACAAATTTATCCGACACCGTCCCCTTATCATAATCCACAACTAGCATTTTTACCTCCCAGCGCACAGGTAAGTAGATATTTATATTGGAGCAACCTATCACTCTCTCATGAATCATACTTATATGCGTTTATCAGTGAATTAGTGATCACAATTTGTAACATTTCTCCTTAAATTATTTTGTGCAGTTAAAATCGTGTGTATGTGTAGGAGCTGAAAACACCACTATCGCTGAAATCTACCAGTGCAGTGACAACTCGATTTGGCGATTTAACTTTAGAATCTCCGACTCCAGTAAGAAATACAGAGACAAGTTTTACTCAAAACTCCGATTCTGAATCACAAGTGGCAAAAATCAACGCTGTATTTCCGACAGTTTCCGATACGCATATTCGTCTTTTACTGAAAAAGTAAGTTTCTCATACAAATTACTTGTTAACAAAATTTTCCGTTCGAAGTTTAATACTTTACATTTGTTACATTTTCATATGTTTGTAATTTGTAATAAACATTAATATCAATACTAGTGTGTGAATATGGAGAAACATGAAATTTATCAATACTAGTATTAACATTAAAACTACCATGTACACGAAATTGTTGTAAATATTTCAAGTACATTGGTTCAGTTTAGTCCAAGTCTTCAGCTATTTCCCTTAATTAGCACTATAAACAGACTTAGTGCTAAGTCGATAGCCAATGTCTTTCAGATACCATAACAGAGCAGCTTTGGTCATGAGTGCCCTTCAAGTGGAAAAGAATCCTCTTTGCGCCCCGGGACCGTGTACACCTGTAGGAGTGCATTCAAATTATACAATCCCGAGATGGCGTCTACCAGCTCATACTATACATGCAGCACTAACATTGAGTCCGCCTCGCGGAGTTCGGCCAGCCCCTAACTCCCCAAAAATGAAACTTAGGTTTAATCTATATATTCATAGTTTCAGTTTCTCACCACCCAGTCTGGATGCTAGATGTTGATATCGTATTTTGTGATAATTTGAAAGAAATTTCAGACAAAAACGTTTTTTTTTGCATTGTTATATTATTGTCTGTTTACATTATGTGTGTATATATATATATATATATATATATATATACACATACATATATATATTCATATATATGTATATATTCATATATATGTATATATACTATATTATTATTAGTATTACATAGCGATAGCATGTATAAAATCATAGATTTCCTTGAATTATTTTTAGGCATTAATTAAAATTCAAAAATTTATAGTAGATTAGCCGATTTAAAACATTTTTTATGTCATGCACGATAGCAAATGTTAATACTAAGTAATAGTTTAATAGAATAAAAAATCCCGTTTCAATTTTTTATTATTACCTTATTGTTTTCAAGAAAAAAATGTAAAAGATTATTTTATCAATCATATAATTTTGGATAACTATTATTCTGATTTTGTTATTATGATTTGTAGTTGATTTCTGGATTATATTACGCAGTATACAGATGTTAGATGAAATTTCTGTTGTTTAAAATGTTGGTTAGTTTGTGTTTTATATTATTTTACATTTTTGTTTGTTGTTTAAATTGAAGCTTACATTATTTAAAATTTTTTTAAATTATTGTTTTGTGTTGTATTGTTATAGACGAGTAAGATTTCTTACAAAAAGAATAAAAAGAGTTGTTGCATGCATCTTTTTAATGTATTATTATATTATATCATTTATAATGAAGTAGAATTATAACGCATAATGCGTTTACATGTGAACACACACACACACACAATGTCTTATTTTAAATCATTTTTATGTATTTACTGAGAGAACGTGCATTGACTCGGACGAAAACTCATCCGTTTCGAGTTTTGAGCAGGTCTACGCCCATGGTCTCCCCCTGCAAGAAAAGTTTGCAACTGCATGTTGCAAAGTACATACTTTTTTAAAAAACAATTATCTGTTTTATAAATTATAAATTATCTGTTTTCTTTATACCAATTGATTGGTCTCATTATTCCGTGCATAAAAGTACTAATTATAAGATACGAAAATCGAACTGAGTATTTTATAAGATATTTTACATTTTGTATCCAAAAATTGTAAACTTCAAGACTTAACTCAAGAAGTACTTAAGAAAAATATTATTTTATTATATTTTGAAAAGTTCTCGAGGTACAAGAAGGTGCATTGAAAAATAGGGGTTTCTATTTAAGAAACTGAAAATGACCTGTACGTGATTTTTAAACAAGTATAAGGTCAAATCAATGATATTATCTTATGTTCTCCTCGAAGTTATAAAATTTTTGTATAAAACGTTTTCTTCGTATCTTCCATATTTTCCGAATTTTCAAATATTTGCCTGAACAAATTAAAATAAAACAGCCTGTATACTTTATTATAATGTTTTTAAAAGCTTTTGAGTTACAAGAATATAAAATAAAAAGTGAGGGATTTCCATTAAAAAATTTCAAGGTGATCTTCACGTGACCTTGACGACGTTGTTCAAGGTCATACTGACATTATTATATAATGCATTACTTGAAGTCTTGCAACTTTTGTTTAAAATATTTTTTCTATCTTGCATATTTTCTGAATTATTCAGGAGTCTCCATATTTTTTCAACACCCTGTATATAAAAAAACGGTAAATCTTTGGAAAACTCACCTATATGAAATAATGGATAAGATACCCAATTCCTATGTATTTTTGCTTCCTGAATACGAATATAAAAACTTAAATGGCGCTTGAAACAAAAAAAAACAAAAAATAAGTTGCAAATCTATGTGAAACTTCACTTTTTTTATTCGCGAGTCCGACCGCTATTTTTAAGATTCATATTCATGTTCAAAGGATAAAAATACATAGAAATTAGGTATTCTTACTCATTATTTCACATAAGTAGGTTTTTTGAAGATTAATCAAAAGAATTATCAAAAAACTAATACTTCACGAAATATTTTATCATTTATTTTGTCATAATATAAAACCTTTTTTATATTCATGAAATGATGTAAAATCTGTTATCAGCGCATAAAGTCTGATGACGTAGTCAATATTAGGCCTCACTGTGAAAAATTTAGCGATTGCTTCTTCCTTTATTCTCTAGAATACGCTTACAAGACGTCCTCCTCGAAATCCTACAACTTTTGTATGAAACATTTTTTGATGGAAGCTTTGGTTTATGAAAAATAGTAATACATTATTTAAAATAAGACGCCTATTTTAAATTTATGTATACTAGATAACACAAGCGCGCGTTTTGCGCGCGCCAAAGGAACTTTACTCCGTAAGTGTAGATAATTTTAATTCGCCAAATTATTAACATAATTCTAATTCCCGAATTTCTACTATACATATACATAATTTTAATTGGCTGAATTTCTATTACGAACCTAATTTTAATTTAATTTTAATTTTAATTTTAACCAAATTTTTATTATGCACATCATTTTAGTTTTTTATTTTTTATTATGTACATAATTTTAATTCTTGAATTTCTATTATGCACATAATTTTAATTCGCCGTATTTCTATTATGTAAATAATTGAAATTGTACCTAATAGAAATTCAGCCATTAAAATTATGTACATAATAAAAATTCAGCGAATTAAAATTATAAACATAATAGAAATTCAAGAATACAAAAAATTATGTACATAATAGAAATTCGACAAATTAAAATTGTAAACATAATAGAATTTCAAGAATAAAAATTATGTACTTAATGCAAATTCGTCGAATTCTTATTTTGTACACATAAATATTCTTTATTTTTATTATGTATATAATTTTAATTATCTGAATTTCTATTATGTAAATAATTTTAATTCGTTAAATTTCTATTATGTTCATAATTTTAATTAACTGAATTTTTATTATGTACATAATTTTAATTTGTCGAATTTCTATTTTCCTGTCTAACTAAGAAACTGTAGTCAAAACCACTCAATCACAAAATTAATAAACAATTATCACATTTTAATAATTATTTACACCAAATCATTTAATATACATAACTATCACTACAATAACCCGTCGATATATACAATTGTCAAAATATGAATTTATCGAATTTCCATTATGTACATAATAGAAATTTGGAATTTAATGTTATGTACATAATAGTAATTCGATGAATTAAAATCATATACATGGTAGAAATTCAATGATTTAAAATTATGTATACGATAAAAATTCGGTGAATTAAAATTATGTATATAATGGAAATTCGCTTACTTACATTCTGTTCTGCTGTCCTCTTGGCAATAGCATTAGGTTGAATGACAGCAAATATACGAATACGCACACGCGAATGTAGAACGAAAAATAATTAATATATCTTATTAATATATTTATATAAAATTTTGACAACTATCAAACTATTAACCCTCGCGGTGACAGCCGCTCAATGTTACAAATATAAACGCACAACGCAAATCGAGACAGCCAATCAGCATCGCGGAAAAGAGGGTTCAAAACATCGATTAAAAACGAAATTCACTTAGGTAACACGCTTTTTTTTATAAAGGACTAGCACGCAGCGCGCGTTAACGCGCGCGCTTTCCTCGATAATCTATTCATATAAAAGTATTTATGTTGATATCATAGAATTTACAAAAATTCAAACAATTATAGACTTTTGTCAAGATATTCAAAATTTTATAAAAAATGGACCTTTTCATCGATTATCGCCAAATTTAAAACCAATCTTATAATAATAGTCTATTTATATAAAAAAATGTATTCCAATATATTAAAATTTATGGAAGTCAGAGTAACAACAAACATTTTTTGAAAAATTAAAATTGCGTTAAAATTTAAAACAAAAACGCGCGCTACGTGCGCGCCATTGCTCAGATTTATATTAATTTTTAATACTGTAGAACTTGCCAAAAATACATTTTTTCTAATATTAGTATTACTTTTTCTGATATTAATTTTATTTTTCATAACATTTGTTTTGTTTTTTCCTAAGATTAGTATTATTTTTCCTAATATTAGTATTTATATTTAATATTAATTAATTAAAAAAAAGAGAAGTCACTGCAGTAATTCTCTGGGAATAGGTAATTTAATTTTCATTATCATTTCAATTTTTTAAAATTATTATTTTAATTTTAATTATCGCTTTAAATGAATAAAACTAATTAAAAAAATGAAAAAACGGGTTTTAAAATATGGTTATACGTTTATTAAATAGTCCTCAGATTGATAATATAAAATATTTAAATATGTTGTGTCAAAAACTAACATAATGATTCATATACTGACAATGAGTTCTATAATTTGAAAAATTAATCATCGCTTTATATGACTAAAATTAATTTAAAAAAATGAAAGAGCGGGCTTCAAAATATGGGAATACGTCCTCGAAATTGTCCTCACTTTGATAATAAAAAATTTTGAGAAATGACGTATCAATATACCTAACATATTCATTCGTACACATTGAATCATAAAAGTTGGAAGAGATTCATTATCGCTTTAAATGACTGAAACTAATTAATAAATTAAAGAGGGCCTCAAAATATGGATACGTTTTTTAAATAGGCCTCAGTTCGATAATAAAAAATATTAAAATATGACGTGTCAATACCCAACATAATGATTTTTAAAAGGTCCTAATATTTAGAAAAATTAATTATCGCTTTAAATGACTGAAACTAATTAAAAGATGAAAGATCAGATTTCAAAATATGGGAATACGTCCTTGAAATGATCGTCAGATTGATAATAATATATATAGAAATATGACGTGTCAATATCTAACATATTGATTCGTACATTGAGTCCTAAAATTTGGAAAAAATTAATTATAGATTTAAATGACTGAAACTAATTAAAAAGGGAAAGATTGGGTTTTAAAATATTGGAATACTTCATCGAAGTGATCCTCAGATTGATAAAAAAAATATTGAAGTATGACGTGTTAATACCTAACAGA